ATAATAATTCTATGGACCCTTTTTAACGGGTTGAGTGGGCCCTCAGGCCAGTTTTTGGGGTGTGTTTCCTATACTTTCAAGGCCTGTTTTGTTGCCAATCACTTGGATGTGGGGGACATTGTGAAGTTTTATTGGATTAAATGTGGGGGGAACATTTGGGAGCACTGGATTACTAATAGGTTGTTTTATTTTGTATGTTTATTAACACTTTTACATAATTTTTAATAACTGGGATGAAAAAATGAAATAGAGAAAAAAGGGGAATTTAATAATACCATAACGTAATGTGGTTTAGAAGAATTATATACTCTGATTATTTTTTTCTCATCCAACACTAAGAAATATTTATACATTCTTATTTTTTCTCAACAATATAATCACATAAACTCTTTTTTTATTCATCATTTATCCCATCTATTCTGTTATAAAACTTGTTCTGTAAATTCTATATCCTATAATATCTAATATTCATCTCATCATGAATATAATTTATTAGATTACAATCTTATCAATAATTCAAGTATTTAATCGGTGGCCTCGAGTAAATCCCGATTATTCAAATAAATACTAAATTTTAACAAGTGAAAAAATGTTAATTCACATTTTGTTAGATAGTTTTGCGGTATGCAATGACATTTAGTATAGCTTCAGTTTTTCATTAATTAAAAGAAGAAAAATATTTGAGGCTTCCTGAAAATAACTTCTCCAAATTCGCTTGCAATGCGTGATATGATAGTGAATAATTTTTAAATTTGTCTACACATTTAACTATGGGGTGATTTTGAGAAGTTGGTTAAAGTTTGACTTTTTTCTGCTTTCTTTGGTTTTTTCTGTCTTTTTGTATGTAAAAAAATGCCAGAGGTGAATTCCGATCTAGAAAAATAGGTTAAAGGTTAAAAGCTAAAGCTAACTTTTTGCTAGCTTTCCAAAGGCTCCTACGTATGGCTCAACTCTCTTTCCACAATTATTGTAATAAATTATAAATTTAAAATCTCAATATTTTACTTTAAAGGCAGGGAAAAATTGGCAAATAAAGGAAACTTTCATAAAATATTTATAAATTCTATTAATTTTTTTTATATGTTTAATTGAATAAAAATCATAAAGCCATTGCTGATTTTGTAATTTTTTTTAGCCATACATTGAAGTTAATTTTTTTTTAAAGCCAGGGTCTGGCTTCTCTCCGGTCTCAATTGAATTGGAGGATATTGTTGGGGTCAGGGGGCTCACCACTGGGTCTCGTTCGATAATCCAAAGCGTCATGTATACGTTGTAGAGTAATTATATAACTTGTGAAAATGCACGTTGATCGGATATCGATAGTTACTCGACCAATCAGTTTGTATTTAAAACAAAAATGAATAATGAAAAAATAACAGTGATAGAAATTTGATAATAGCTACTTCGAAATCCGGTTAACGTGATTTTTTAAACAAGACTAAGTACTCGTGAGTTATACCACATTGAATGATTTAAATATCAAAACAGAATCAATGATGAAATCTTCACGAATTTAAATCCTTCCAATTGGTCTAAAACTGAGGAAAGTCGTCCTTTTTAATGATTAATGTTAAACAATGATAGAAAATATTCCGGACTATATAAATAATTTTATAATGTCATTATGGGGTTGTCCTTGCTTTAGGTAGGAACTCTAAGTAGTGGTAAGTGTAACGTGGGTGTTTTGGACGCGATAAAAACCTAGCAGTGGTGTGGTCGTTATCAGAAGAATAAGCTTCTTTATTGGTCATGGGAATGGAATGTTGTTTTGAAGGGTTTTGTCTCAGAGACAACATACAAAAACTAAACCCCACACCATGCAGAGCCAATTTGGACTTATAATCACTTTTTTTTTTTTTTTTTTTTTTTTTTTTTTTTTTTTTATTAATGTCTGTTCATAACCATGGCAGGCTTGAGAAATTGTTTGAAATCCCGGCTGAGCCCGTAAATTTCATCTATACACAAATACATATTGCATGTATTTATTTTTATATTATTTAACTTTGTTGTTTGACATGAAAAACAAATTATTAATGACTTAGTTTTAAAAAATTAGGGTTTAAGGTTTTAAGAACGGATTGAAATAAGAATGTGATTCTTTATTATGTATTTTAGTAGGAATTATATTCTCAAACTAGTAATCCAATTTCCCTGCTTATCCATGGGAATTTCACATTTCTAGAGAAAATTGTGCCCCACAATATTTTAATTTTTATTTTTAACTAACGCACACAAAAACTAAATATAATCCATCCATGCACAAGGCGGTGTTAAGTGTTCTCAAATTTAAATTTTTTGTACAAAAAATTATATAGTATTATGTAAAAATTTAGGAAGTTTTCGCAAGTTCACATCACTAAAATTATTAAAAATTAAATATGATGGTGTCAAAATGACTTGTAAAAAAAAAAAAAAAATTTGTATAGAAAATACATCTTAAATGATGTGTCAATAATATTTCTGAAATTCTTATGACAATAATGGATGTTTTGATTAAAAATGAATAGACATTAAGAAGTGTAAGTGTATATAAAAACTTTGTAGATAAATTGCACTTAGGCCTCATTGGGAATAAGCTATTTTAATAATTGAGCCATGATAGAAACCCCCTCCAATCACCACCCCCACAACCCCCCACAGACACGTGGCGGGTGGTAATTGGAAGAGCAGGAAAAAAAAAATGCAACCAATGAGAGAGAGGGGGGGTCAAAAGGGATGGGGGAAAAGGGGGCATGAAACATTTTTGTTTAATAATTTTTTGAATTTTTACGAAAAGATGTTCAGAAAAACAGGGAGAATGATATGATAACTTATAATAACTTTTTAACTTTTTAGTTAAAATTGAAAATTGCCAAACGAAGCCTTAATACCCCTACACTTTCACCAAAATCTCACGTTAGTCCCTTCAATTTCAATTTAATAGTTAACTTCCTATACTTTAAGTTAAGCTATAATCTCATTATATCCATCTACCGTTAACAAAGTTGACAGAATTTGTCATTTGATGCATATGTAACATTTTTATTGTTTTATTAGCACTCGTACACTTTTATTAAAATTTTACTTTAACTCTTCTACTTTCACCAAAAGCTCACTTTAATTCTTTCACTTTTAATTTTTGTTGGTTTTATTAACATTAGCTGAACGAAATGGTAAGATTGAAATTTGACTTAAAAGTATATGAGATTGACGGTTACAATTCAAAGTAAAAATATCAAAATAAAATTTTAATAAAAGTATAATAATACTAAGCGTAATTTACTCAAATTTTATTTATATATTTTCTCTTTTTTGGAAAGTAGAACATAGTTTAGAGTTATTCTTGTTTGTAGGCACTAGGTTCTTAGATCTTTATGAATTTTTTTCCCTCACATAAAGATTTATTGTTTTTTCTTTTTCTTTTTCTTCATTCTCTCTTCTCAAGTGATTAAAAATTGCACAATTTCTAATTCAATATGAAATGATAATATCAAAGACAACTAATTGAATAATACCACTAAATTAATTTTTTTTACTACGCGACTATCCATAGATGTCGATTTAGTTTTATCTTTTTGAAGGGTTTCGAAAGTTGGGGAAATTGCAAATACACAGAGTAGTGGGGAAAAAATTACACTACAAATAGGAAGAGGAAAAAAAAAAAAAAAATTTGCTTGTTGAAATTTTTAAAAAAATTTTTTTAATTATTTAAAATCAAAAAATTAGAAATTTTAGTTTGAAATATTGGAACTCCCATAAGAGTTGTGGTTATACCACAATACACAAGTACTATAGACATCTATTTTCATCTACATCAACATTGTATGAATCTCAAAAAAAGACAGTCTATCAGGATCAACATCATAAATATATTCTACTTTCCCTTGTATATAACCAATATTAGGCGGCTTATTGAATTACCCATTATAGTTGATCTCAAAAATCTTTTTTTTATTATTATTATTATTATTATTATTATTATTATTATTATTATTTTTACCTCACTACACAAAACAACAAAAGTTCACAATACTACATTACAAAACTCAAAGTCATTGGGGCCACATTACAAAAATCAAAATCCTTGGGACAATACTATTTAATTAATATTTGATTATTAATTCAATTCCTCAATATTTAATTCAAATCCCGTTGCAACAAAATATACCCCATCTTCACCAAAATTCAAAAAAATTAAATCAATACATGCATGGCATACATGAAAAATTATAAAATCTCTAAACACAAACAGAATATATGAATAAAAAGTCACCATCATAAAAAAATATGAATAAAGCTCTAAACCCCACTACACTTTAACCAAAATCTCAAAAAAAAAAAAATATATATATATATATATATAACAATAAAAGGCATGAATATAGACACTAAAAAAATCTCAAAGTTAACATCATAAAAAAATACTTGTTATTTATTAAGCTCTATACCCCACGCCATTCCATCCCAATTTAACCAAAATCCCTAAAAAATTAAAGTAATAAAATGCATGAATACAGAAAACTAAAGTATACAAAACAACTATATGAATAAAAAATACCCTAAGTTAACATCATGAAAAAAAATACCCATTATTTACAAAGCTCTATACCCCACCCCACTCCACCCCACTCCACTCCACTTTAACCACAATCCCCAAAATTAAAGCAACATAGGCATACCATGCACAACTTTTACTAATTTTGTAAGTCGAAGTCAACACAACCTAAGTTATGAATAAAAATTAAGGAAAATCAATATCTAACGATAAAAATAAATTAGGGTAAACAACACATACCTAACCTATGGATGGCATTCGCAATATGATGGATCGATTGATGATAAAATCCTAATTCAATCCAATCAACTACGGTGAGAGAGAAGATATCTATATAATAAGTCACAATGGTTTTTGAATTTATGTCAAAAATGTATGTGAGATACATTTGAATTTGATGGCTGAGATTAATCCCAAATTTATATCAACCGTTCAGATCAATATATCTTCCGCCCAAAACTTCCCTCTGTAAAAGCATCGTTGTTGCCTTCCCACCTACCCATGTTTGCCTCCCCCCTTCCCCCTTTCTCTCTCTCTCTCCCTCCCTGTTCTTCTTCTTCTTGAATACTTCTTCTCATCTGTCCTTCACAGATACATCTCTCTCTCTCTCCTCAGAACTTTTCTCTCTTCCTCCTATTTCTTTCATACGTTACTCTCTCCTCTTGCGATGACCACCGCCGTCGCGACACCGACGACCACCGACCACCTCTCCTTTCCCTGGCTGGAGACCCAAACCCGAACTCTTTATTCCTGTCCTCCTCCATCTCTCCCAGCCATAACCTTAATCCCTTCATCTCCCGCTCCCTCATCCCCCTTCATCACTTTAGGGCTTTATTCCTATACTCTGTTTTTTACTTGCATTTTGCTCATTTTGCCCTCTCTCTCTCTCTCTCTCTCTCTCTCTCTCTTCATTTGTTGTGGGTTTTAGTATAACTTGGTTCGATTCATAAAGCTGGTTCAGAAAGCATTGATATATGATCTTCTTCTTCTTCTGGTAATGTACTCTGTTTTTTTTTTTTTGTTTAAAGTATAAAAATGTGGGTTTCTTATAACTTATTAAAATTGATGAAGTTGCTGAAAATGAAGTTGAAAATTTGAGCAAGATGCGGGAGGGACAGATGGTGATGGTGATGGTGATGATGCTGAAAATGTAGATCGTGGACCACCGTGGGCAGTATGTGTTCAACGAGAGGATCTGGGAGGGGCAGATGGTGATGGTGCCGCAGAACTTTGTGGTGGTGAAACAAGCCGGAAGCGTTGGGTTCGAATGGGTGCCCTTGAGGTATGCACATTTAAATGAGGTATGCACATAATATGACATACGATTTATGCAATTACATGTCATTTCAACTCTCATTACATAGTTGTAAATACCAAAAACATATTACAATATATAAAATGTGCCAAATGGTCAAAATTCCCTCTCTTATCTACGCCTTAGTCCTACAACTACCTATATATTTGTAATTTCACAAAACAGTATGTAAGAAAACCTTTATCCTAAAGCGGTGTTGCTTTTATGTGGATCTATGCTTATGTGAGAAATAGTCACATGATGTGATCAATGAGAATGTATTTGATGTCTCTAGATTTTACTCATCCAACTTTTACTTTCTAATATCCAATATTTTAAATCTAGAAAAGGGATGCCAAACCACAAATCTCCAAATAGGTTAATCCAAGCCCCAAGGAATAAATTTTTGTTTCAGTGAGTTGTTCAGTCAAAACGGAAACATATTTGGAATCGTTAAGTTTTTCTATAAATAGACAAATGCGTTTGGAAATAAGGCACGGTGAGGGCCATTCCTGTGGATGTCATACCCCCTTTAACTGCTAATTACAACCAACAAAAAGGTCATATTAAATTCTCACCTTCCGGAACAATTCTTTCATACCCCCACCAGCTGAACTAGGGTAATATATCATAATGCTGTGGTTATCGCCTTCATAAAAACACAACTCAAATTTGTTACCAATGCAGACTTAAAAATGATATTCGCACATAAATAGAGATACCAAAATATTTTAAAAAGCAGCATATTTGTAATTGGCCAAAAAAGAAACTTTTATCATATATCCAAGCTGCTCAAAATTTACTCTCAATGATCACAATAAGATTCAGAAACTCAAGAAGAAGAAATATATAGGTTTAAGACACTACAAGCAACTGCAATTGTCATTTTAACATACATATGGTCCAAACTGTTTTATTCCATAAATGACAACAAAAGAAAATCTCCATTATGGTTCTAATAATATTGTAGAACAGTACTGGAAGATACTTCCCTCCCATTATTCTTACAATCCAAGTTTTATGTACCAAGTAAACCTCATATATTGTTGACAAACCAATAAAATATCACATCCAAGAGGGACTGCATCACATCACATAATTTAGCCCAAATACTCATAACAGAAGTAGCAAAAACACAATGTCCATATGATTGAGGAAGCAAACATACCATTAACAGGCTTCTCCACAAAAGGCTTCCAAAAGCGATTCCCATGAACCTCAATAAAATCTTCTTCCTCAACAAAATAATCCAGCTCTTGATACCATTTACAAGGGCATATCTTGGAACAGGAATTCCATGCATTTGAAGACACTTGATTTTGAAAGGAGAAAAGATAAAAAAATAAAAAATAAAAAAATGGCATTTATGTTCAACACTTAATTACCAAAATGTTAATAACTATAAAAAAAAAATGGTAATAACTATCTAGGGAGCAATTAACACAGTAAACTTTAATATGAATGAAGCTGCACAGCAAGCTTCGATAAAGCCGTTATGTTTTTATACATATTATTGCTTATCAGGGGATAATTTCAATGCTTTTTTGTGAAGTAAATTGTTAAATTGATTATTGGGGGAAGATTTCAATGCTTGATTTTGGTTATTAATTTGATAGAACCTTTTGTAGGTCTCATGAGGAAATGTCTCTGAAGATGATTATAACAGCTTTTGGCATTTGAGTTCTACTTGGCTTTTGAAAAATCTTGCATTGATTAGTTTTGAGCATAACTAAAAATAATACATAAGTTTATTAGTAGCATAATCATTAGACAAATTTTAGTGACTACTTGAAATTTTTTCCTCTATTTTTTTTTTTTAATATTTTTTCTTCTATGCTAAGATATATGCGTGATTTTCAACAGGAAATGATAATTGTTTGCTTTGAAAATGCTCCTTCAAAAGTAAGTGTAGACTGTTCAAGGATTTTCTGGTGTTTATTACTATAAAATATTTCATTTCGCCTCTAAACTCTTTTCTATGCTTTTACTCCAACTTTAATTCCTCTTCTTATTTTCCTGTTGTTTATCCTCTTCTGTTTTAGAGTTCAAAAGAGAAGCGTTTCTTATATGATATTGTTGCAAGTATATCACTTATCTCTTTTCACTTCCTTTGGTTTGTTTGTTTTATTTTGTGTTTATAATTTTTTTTTTCTTGACTTGCTTAGCAAGGATGATTTTATTTTTATTTTTTGTGTTGATATGAAGTTTATACTTTAGAGTCATAAAGTTTGTTAATAAAACCAAAATGTTTTGTTATTTTAGGGTTCTGTTTTGGAGTTTATTTGGTGTATTAACGAAACCATCGAGTTTCATGATTTTGTTGTTTGAATTTGGTACAACTGTTCAATTTCATGATTTTGCTGTTTTACTATGAAGTTGAGGGCTTAGTTGAAGTGCTCTGTTTCTATAAATTTTCAGAATTTGGATTCTGAATTTGGAGTTTATTTGGTGTATTTTAGTTTCATGTCTTCATTTAGGAAACCGTCAAGTTTGGTATCAAGATCGCTGACATTTGTATGTGTATGATTTTTTTTTGTTCATGTCTTTGTTCAATTTCATGATTTTGCTGTGAAATTTGGCTCTTCTTTCCCAGATTTCTTTAGTCCATCCACAACCACGTCATAGCTGTACCGCTGTTCAAAGGTAATTTCATAACCGTCGAGTTTCATGATTTTGATGTTCAAATTTGGTACCGCTGTTCAATTTCATGATTTTGTTTTTTGCTATTTTGGGGTTGGATTGTTTTACTATGAAGTTGAGGACTTAGTTGAAATGCTCTGTTTCTATAAATTTTAGGATTCTGAATTTGGAGTTTATTTGGTGTATCGAGTTTCATGTCTTCATTTAGGAAACTTTTGAGTTTGGTATCAAGATCGCTGACATTTGTTCATGTCTTTGCTCAATTTTAAGATTTTGTTGTGAAATTTGGCTCTCTTTTCCTAGATTTTTTTGTTCCTGCCACAACCACATCATCGCTGTACCGCTGTTCAAAGGTAATTTGATTTCTCTTTTTCTCCCTTTGAGTAATTTAGTTCGCATGTTCGAGTTTGGTATCAAGTTCGCTGATTTTCTTTGTTCAATTTCATAATTTTGCTGTTTGAAGTGTTGGTATAGGGTTTGCTGACTTCTTTCAGGTATGAGTTTTTGTATGTGTATGGTTTTTGAGGGCTTAGTTGAAGTGCTGATAAAGTTGATGTTTTTTTTAATTTAGTTGAAGTGCTTAGTTGAATTTTCTATAAATTGGTGTATTGAGTTCCATGTCTTCATTTAGAAATATTTTTTCTTCCTGTGAATTCACTCCCTACTCTTTCAAAAAAATAAAAATAAATAAATAAATAAAATTGAACCATAATGCATCTTGAGGGAGTCTGTAGTTCATGGAAAATTTTAGGACCATAGTGCATGTTTGTTCCATGCCTAAAGCATTCTGTTATCCATGTAGAACTCACTACTATTTTCACTGCCAATGCACCACTACAGCTTTGTTCACTAATCCCCATATAGTTGTCTCAAACACTTTAGAGAAGCAAGTGATCAAGTAAAATTGGTTAAACAAATACTTTAGAGAAGCAAGTGATCAGGTATGGTTATTGAGTTTGTGTGCCAAACGAGTTCACTGAGCCATTTCCATTTTAAAGTCTCTAGATAATTCATTCCCTTTGCCTATAGAATAATTAAGCCCAAAAAATGTGAAAAGAAAAAAATTAAACTACTATTCACAATTAAACTGCTATTCTGTCAATTAAGACAATGAAAAGAAAAAAAATTAAACAACAGTGAATGCCTCCATCATTTTGATGCGACAGGAAGATGTGCATAGGGGAGGAAAAACACCATACGTTACATGTGTAAGCAAGCATGTATGCTACAACAACATTCAAATGCATACCATGTCATAAGCCATACCTCTGCAATAATATCTTTTTCCCATATTGATGCTAAGGGAATTAAAAGAAACAATACAAGCCTCTCATCCAATACTTCTCTTGCACCAGCTTTATGCAAAAGCCTATATAAACTGACTCAGCAATAATATCTAATTCCCATATTGATGTTAAGGGAATTAAAAGAAACAATATAAAATAGTAGATAGATATTATGTTATTATGGACAAGTTTGGGAGCTGAGTAACAGCACCCATGAAATGAACAATATTTGGGTGCCACCGAAACAGATTGTTTATGTTAGTTGTTGATTTTTATATTCCCCCCCCCCCCAAATTAGTTGGTTCACTTTTTTTTTTTTTTTCCAAGTACATTACTTAGTGTCATTTGGTTTTATTAGTTGATACTCCTAATACTAATACAATTTGTTGTTACTTTGTATCTTGATATAGGGACTTATTAATGTTTCATATCACTACTACTAATTAATTATTGAAGTGATTAATAAAGCAGGTGCTTTTCAGGTAATCTAGATGTTTGATAGGTTGGATCTGCATCTTCAGGTATTTTTCAATTCGATTTTCACAGTTCTCATGCTTTGAATATGTTCTCAAATAGAGGTCTTCACTTGAATTTTGATTTTGATCGTGACTTGTATAGGGTAAGGATGAATCTAATGATCCGCTTTCTAGGTTGGGTTTTGTATTTCTTACTAATGATTTCTTAGTGGTGGTTACCAAAATAAAATATCACTTGGCTGGTTCTGTTTTTCATTAAATAGACAATGGTTGTTTGCCTATGCTATTTTCTGTTCTGATAAGATTGCTAATTGTTTCTGTCTTTTTCCCGGTTCAGAATTGTTGTGTTGATTTCTGCCTCTCCCCTTTAGAATTGTTGGCTTGATATTCAAACATGTTATTTTAGACCAAAAATGACTTAGATAGAATATCACTTGACCGGTTCAGTTTTTTATTAAATAGACAATGGTTGTTTGCCTATGCCATTTTCTGGTATGATAATCTAGATAATTGATAGATTGGGATAAATAGTATAATGATTTCTTAATGGTAGTTACCAAAATATAATATCACTTGGCTGGTTCTGTTTTTGATTAAATAAAATGATCATTTTAGTGAACATTATAAATCTTATATATTTGTTTCTTAATTTGCATTAAGGCTGGGGGAAGTTGTTATTTTATTTGAGTTTTGAGTTTTACTTATGGTCATGTATTGCTTAACAAATATTCAAAATGTATTTAATGTTGGAAGCAAAATGAATCTGAATGGGTGTAGGTGAAGATTGAAGAAGGTGATGGAGGGTGGTTACATACACAAAATTGATGGGACCAAACTGATATAATAAATGGCTTTGGGCTTTTGGACAAAATAAATGGGGTTTTTTAGGCTGTGTTGATTTGTAAATGATGAGGGAATAAAGTTAGTTAGAGTTTGTTGTTAAATTACCCAGCGAAAAGTTTGCTTTCTGAATTTTATTTTATTAAATTCTTTAAAAATGATTGACATTGTATAAAGTTAAAGATTATTTAGAGACATGTTGATGTTGTGTAAACTTATATAGATTTGGTTTGGTTTGAGATGTAGACATTTGGAGTGTTTGTAATTTAGATTTTGATCAAGAATACCATTTTTGTATTGGCATGGTGTGCTCCAAAGGGAGAACACCATTTTGTTTTTTCTCTTATTTTGAAATTGTGTTTATAATAAAGGGGATCCTCTTGCTAAAATGTATGTTATCTATTCATTTTTTGTATGTTATAGGAAAAAAGAATTTTAGGTATACTTGATTCTCAATGTTCTTAGCTTAAGAGAGAATGATAAATGATAAATGAAAATTATTCAAACAAAACATTATTTACACCGTGCCTTTAGGCACGGGCATACACTAGTATATATATATAGAGAGAGAGAGAGAGAAGATAGAGATACAAATACTGTATTAGTCAAATGAAACGAAACGACTGAGGGATGTAAAATATCTAGGGGCATTTACGACTTTTTACAACTTCTGTTACGTTCGTCCAAAATTACACTCTAATATGAAATATAGGGAGTTTAAGTGTTATAAATAAAATTATAGGAGGACTCCGTGTTTTTTAAACAAACCAAAGGCGTTAAAGTGTAATTTACCCTATTAATTTCTACTTTCATTTTGCCCACCATGTGCTCCACCATATGCTCAAATAAAATACACACCAACCGCCACCAGTACTTGTTTGGTTTGTGTTGAAAATGTAATAGATTATTGGGAAAAAAAATTATATTTAATGTGTTTGGTTTGAGTTTTCTGAATTAAATTTTTTAAAAATTGAGTTTTTTGATTTTCGTATTCTTTTGTTTTTAGTGAATATTTTTTAAATTTTAAACATTTTTTTTACTTTTTTAGATGCACCTTAGTTAGATGTATCTAAAAATTATGAAAAAATATTTTAAAAAATTAATAAATACATAAAAATACAAAAAATGTACTGAATTCTTATATTTTTGGTATTTAGTGAATTTTTAAAAGATTTTTTTTACAATTTTTTTACTTTTTAGATATATTTATGTTAGGTGTGTCTAAAAAATAAAAAAATTGCTTAAAATATTGAAAAAATTCAGTAAAAACAAAAAAACACGAAAAATTAGAAAGTAGAATTTTCTAAAAAGTATTTTCTGAAAAATGAAAACAAGCAAGCTGATTAGGATCTTGAGGATAAGTTTCGCACGTGTAATTTATCTAAATTGATGTCTTTATTCATAGTGAAATTGTGTGCAAGTAGCAAGGATCAATAGTAAGAACAAAAGTAGTATAGTGAGAAAGATTAAAATGATTAAAAAGGAAAAATAATTTTTTTGAATAACTCTAGTTAGATCAACCAACTCAATCCATTTTTGCTAACAAAGCAAAATTAAAGAACAAAATTTTTTAACACTTGTAATAGAAATCTCCACCAAAAATAAATATGCAACAAAACCAGACAAGAGCTCATATTATAAATGTCTGTATAAATAAACACCCATTGGCACCCAATTGACAAGTTCATATGCACTTACTACCCGTACACAAAAAGAATCTCAAATGAAAACTTCTATTTACTCTTGATTAAAGGAAGAAACTAAGGTCAAGTTTGGGATGTTCCAAAAAAGTCAAAAAGTCAAAAAGTTACTCAAAAAGTTAAAAAGTTAATACTATTCACCAAAAGTCAACAATTACGGCTGCACAACTCCCAATTCAAATTTTTCTCTACAAATCAATTTTTACAATTTTTTATTACACATTTTTCAATAAAAAGTCAAAAAGTTAACCCAAACATCCATATTTTCAACCTCAATTTTTTAGTCCAAAAAGACAAAAAGTACACTTATTTAGTCTTCCCAAACTTGGCCTAAATAAGATAAAAAATCACCAATGATTTACATACAAATTCTCTCAATTAATTTATGATTTATGATGTTAATCAAATGTTATCTAAAAAACAAGAAACAGAAATATGAGAAATATGACAACTTCTACAAGACTTTTGATCCAAATTCGAACAAAGGGCCAAATTAACAGATGAGCAATTGCCTTTGTGGAGTTCCCCATAAACAAGGAAAAAGATAGGCTTAGGTCTCGTTTGGGAACAGGTTAATTTAGTAATATTTTAGTTATTTGGTTAAAATATGAGCTAAAAAAAATTAGTATGTTTGGGATAACTTTTTGACTTTTTACGAAAAATGTGCAAAAAGTAGAGAGAAAAGAGAATCTTTGACTTTTTAGTATGGATTATTGACTTTTTGACTAATTTAGTAACTTTTTGACTTTTTGACTAAAAAGGAGAGTTCCCAAACAAGACCTTAGAGTGCAAACCAAGATTTTAATTATTCCAATTAATTCTTAAGTTGACCCATTAAGATTTATAAATGATACACTTATTAAATATTTTATATAAGTGTGAGATTTACGTCAAATCTATATAATGTAAATTTCACATTCACGTTAAACTTTTTTTTTTTTTTGGGTAGAAAGTACACATTCACATTAAACATTTAATAAAAATGTTGATAAAACATTTGGGAGGACAAGTATTTTTCTAACCATATTTAACCGAGTTAAAGTTGGTAAAAAACTAGTGACTCGTGGGAACTTGAGAGAGGAGTGGGACAGAAAGAGGAAACTTTCTCTTTGGTCTTCTCAGAATTTGTCTCGCAATAAATGCTCTCTCTGCTGAGGGATCAGAAAATGGAGGAGAATGCAGGTCTGTAGCAAGATGGAGAACGGGACAGAGGATTGGGACAGGGAAGGAGAACAGAGTATCCCTACCCCTCTCGCTTCTCTTTCTCTTTCTTCTTTTCAGAGCTTGTCTCTCTACGGAGCTCGCCATAAATGCTCTGTTTCTCACAGCCCTATCTATAGCTTCTCTTTCTCTGATCTCTCTGCTAATGTTGTGTTTGGTTGGAAGATTTGAGGAGGGATTTGAAAAAGGAAAGAGAAAAGGTGTGTGAAACTATGTGAAATGTAAGTATATTTTTTTCACATTTCACCTATTTTTTCCATTTTCCTTTCCAAATCCCTTCTCAAATCCCTCAACCAAACACAGCATAAGGGATCAGAAAATGGAGGAGAATGCAGGTCTGATCGGAGATTGAAGAGGTCGGAGACAGAAACCTGGCCAGAGGCAGCTAGATGGAGAACGGGACAGATGGTTGGGATAGGGAAGGGGAACAGAGTATCCCAACCCCTCTCGCTTCTCTTTTTCTTTCTTCTTTTCCGAGCTTGTCTCTCTACGGAGCTCGCCATAAATGCTCTGTTCCTCACAGCCCTATCTATAGCTTCTCTTTCTCTTTGTTATTCTCAGAACTTGTCTTCTTGTGTGTATATACTCCTTCATATGACTCTCAGAACTTGTCTCTTCGTTCTTATTTATATACTCCTTCGTATTTGATTACAAACACAAGCTTGAAATCTTCAACTGCTCTTCCATGGACGTTGAGGCCATGGATGTTGAGGAGGTACTTGTTTATTTTTATGCAATTTTTTTTTTCCCTTTCAACTGTTAATTAATTAATTATTTATTTTTATGTAGAACCCGTTGAGAAGACGAAGGCGTAATGTTCTATGTGTAAAGAAGAAAGCAAGAATAAAATTCACAGATAAGAGTTTTGAACCAGAGGAATGAGAGGAAGAAGAGAAAGTAAAGCAAGGTTATACTTCCTTGTAAGAGAAATTAAAGTTCCGATTTAGTTTTTTCAAAAAATATATTCTCAGAAAAGTAGAATGCGTTAGCAAACGCATTCTCTTAAGACACAGAGCTTCCTCCTCAATTTCTTATTTTGAAATGAGTTTTGAAGATGATCGGTTCGATAAAGTTCCGATCAGTATTTGAGAAGAAAAAATTGAGGAGCGGCTCTGTGTCTTGAGAGAATGCGTTAAACGCATTCTACTTTTCTGAGAATATATTTTTTGAAAAAACTAAATCGCCAGAGATGCATCTCTATCACCGAAAGAATTCCACGACCGTTTCGAAAGTGGGTTAAATACTGGCTATTGAAAAGGTGGGTATTTGACTCATCTGGTATGAAGGTTGTGGGTTTCAGCGATGATGTTTGCTCTGTTTTTAAGTAAGTTTCATTTCTTTCTATTAAATTTACCTTTGATATCTTTTCTTTTGATTATGCTTTTTAATATATATATATATATATATATTTGGCTATGTTCCAGGCAGATTGGTGGTGGTTTGAATCCTCTACCGTCGTAAGTTTCATGGCAGCCTACCTACTGGGGTGATGGTGTCGCGGAGTCAAATGGTCAAGTTTGTCAACTTGACCAGTTTTGCTAGCCTTCCTTTCGCAAGTCGATTTTGAAGCTGGTTTGAAGAAAGATATTGAGGATTTCAAACAACTTGTTCTGAAGATAAAACTGTCTAGAAACTCAACTGTTCCGGTTGTTTTGACTTTGTTTTGCTGTCTATGTGATGACGCCCAACTAACCACGGGAGTTGAGCTTGTGTACCTACTCATTTTATGTTTTTATGAACATAATTTTTTTGAAAATGATGTACATTCATGCATTCTTCATATTTTTAATATTTACTGTTTGATATTTATTTTCTTTTTGTTTTCAACGACTTAGCTTTCTTCGTTTACAGTGATGCCTTTTTTCATGATGATAACGTCTGTTGCTATCTTTTCATGAGCGTTTGGGACTTTATTAAGGGCGATCTGCACAAAGGTCTGTCAATTCTGTTGAGGATCGGGGGCACACCAGGGAACTCAAACAAGCAATAACACACAAGTTTTAACGTGGTTCGGCAACTCGCCTACGTCCACGGGCAGCGGATTCACTATATTGAACAAAATGGTGAATTACAACACTCTCTGTAATTCTCTCTCTCTTTGCTCTCAACTCACACCTCCTCAGCTCCACATCTCATATCTATATCCTCTCCCTCCCGTCTCTATTTATAGTAGAGAGAAAAGAGAATCTTTGACTTTTTAGTATGGATTGTTGACTTTTTGACTAATTTAGTAACTTTTTAACTTTTTGACTAAAAATGAGAGTTCCCAAACAAGATCTTAGAGTGCAAACCAAGATTTTAATTGTTCCAATTAATTCTTAAGTTAACCCATTAAGGTTTGTAAATGATACACTTATTAAATATTTTATATAAGTGTGAGATTCACATCAAATCTATATAATGTAAATTTCACATTCACGTTAAACTTTTTTTTTTTTTTTTTGGTAGAAAGTACACATTCACATTAAACATTTAATAAAAATGTTGATAAAACATTTGGGAGGACAAGTATTTTTCTAACCATATTTAACCGAGTTAAAGTTGGTAAAAAACTAGTGACTCGTGGGAACTTGAGAGAGGAGTGGGACAGAAAGAGGAAACTTTCTCTTTGGTCTTCTCAGAATTTGTCTTGCAATAAATGCTCTCTCTGCTGAGGGATCAGAAAATGGAGGAGAATGCAGGTCTGTAGCAAGATGGAGAACGGGACAGAGGATTGGGACAGGGAAGGGAAACAGAGTATCCCTACCCCTCTCGCTTCTCTTTCTCTTTCTTCTTTCAGAGCTTGTCTCTCTACGGAGCTCGCCATAAATGCTCTGTTTCTCACAGCCCTATCTATAGCTTCTCTTTCTCTGATCTCTCTGCTAAGGGATCAGAAAATGGAGGAGAATGCAGGTCTGATCGGAGATTGAAGAGGTCGGAGACAGAAACCTGGCCAGAGGCAGCTAGATGGAGAACGGGACAGATGGTTGGGATAGGGAAGGGGAACAGAGTATCCCAACCCCTCTCGCTTCTCTTTTTCTTTCTTCTTTTCCGAGCTTGTCTCTCTACGGAGCTCGCCATAAATGCTCTGTTCCTCACAGCCCTATCTATAGCTTCTCTTTCTCTTTGTTATTCTCAGAACTTGTCTTCTTGTGTGTATATACTCCTTCATATGACTCTCAGAACTTGTCTCTTCGTTCTTATTTATATACTCCTTCGTATTTGATTACAAACACAAGCTTGAAATCTTCAACTGCTCTTCCATGGATGTTGAGGCCATGGATGTTGAGGAGGTACTTGTTTATTTTTATGCAAATTTTTTTTTTCCCTTTCAACTGTTAATTAATTAATTATTTATTTTTATGTAGAACCCGTTGAGAAGACGAAGGCGTAATGTTCTATGTGTAAAGAAGAAAGCAAGAATAAAATTCACAGATAAGAGTTTTGAACCAGAGGAATGAGAGGAAGAAGAGAAAGTAAAGCAAGGTTATACTTCCTTGTGTGGTTTTGAAGATGATCGGTTCGATAAAGTTCCGATCAGTATTTCAGAAGAAGAAATTGAAGAGGAAGCTCTTCGTCTTAAGAGAATGCGTTTGCTAACGCATTCTACTTTTCTGAGAATATATTTTTTGAAAAAACTAAATCGCCAGAGATGCATCTCTATCACCGAAAGAATTCCACGACCGTTTCGAAAGTGGGTTAAATACCGACTATTGAAAAGGTGGGTATTTGACTCATCTGGTATGAAGGTTGTGGGTTTCAGCGATGATGTTTGCTCTGTTTTTAAGTAAGTTTCATTTCATTTCTATTAAATTTACCTTTCATATCCTTTCTTTTGTTTATGCTTTAATATATATATATATATATATATTTGGCTATGTTCCAGGCAGATTGGTGGTGGTTTGAATCCTCTACCGTCGTAAGTTTCATGGCAGCCTACCTACTGGGGTGATGGTGTCGCGGAGTCAAATGGTCAAGTTTGTCAACTTGACCAGTTTTGCTAGCCTTCCTTTCGCAAGTCGATTTTGAAGCTGGTTTGAAGAAAGATATTGAGGATTTCAAACAACTTGTTCTGAAGATAAAACTGTCTAGAAACTCAACTGTTCCGGTTGTTTTGACTTTGTTTTGCTGTCTATGTGATGACGCCCAACTAACCACGGGAGTTGAGCTTGTGTACCTACTCATTTTATGTTTTTATGAACATAATTTTTTTGAAAATGATGTACATTCATGCATTCTTCATATTTTTAATATTTACTGTTTGATATTTATTTTCTTTTTATTTTCAACGACTTAGCTTTCTTCGTTTACAGTAATGCCTTTTTTCATGATGATAACGTCTGTTGCTATCTTTTCATGAGCGTTTGGGACTTTATTAAGGGCGATCTGCACAAAGGTCTGTCCATTCTTCATTTCAATAAGGGTGTTGTTAATATGAGAGGGTGGCGGAGTACTTTGCGAGACCTGCGATTTTCTGCATTGAAACGTGCTAGCCGACGCCAGGGTCAGTTATACCACAAAGCTTTTGGTATTGTTAAATTTCATAAAAACTTTATGATGCACGTAGACAGTTATTTGGTGAGTTAATTTTTTCTGTGTATTTTCATATTTTATATATTAAAATGTATTATATACTTGTGTATATTTATTTTGATGTTGTAATGCAGACAATACCAGCATTCCGTCGGCTGACATATGCTACCAAGTTACTAAGGGAAGCATTTTCTAATTTTCCGGCGAAGTTTTTTTATCTGGTTGCCACTCTTATTTGACGACGTCAGGTCGAGTTTGGGTGAGCCCTAGTTTTATTTTACTTTATATGATGTTCTTTTCCTTTGGTTTTTGTTATTTAATACTATAAGCCAATGTTGTTATTTTTTATTTTTTGATTTATTACTCTGCTTTCTAGTAACTTGTATTTTTTTGAATGTTTCAGACCTGATGGTTTGGTGTCACACATCCGAAGGACAGTAACCTCATGTTCTACTTTTTCATGAGATGCCAATTTTTCAGGACAGTAATGCATCTTTATACAAATTTTGACATTTTTTTTGAGGTTATTATTGTAAAATTGCAGAGATGCTTTAACTGTTGTTTTTTAGAGTTATTCTTTATTTTTATATATATACATTTATATGTTTTTGTTATTATTATTATTATTATTATTGTATAATTTATTTGTAATTTGCATTTATTTAAGCTGGGCGATGCTATGCGGTTCCTGGTTTCTATGCTGTCATTTTGCTTCTGTAAGTTTTTTTTTTTGTTTTTTTGGATGAACAATTATGATGGTTGTTTTTTTTTGAATGATTGTAAAAGAATCTATGGTGGTTTTATGGTGTTTTTTTTTTGTGAGGATTATTGCAATTTGAATGTGTTGGTGGATGACTTCTTTTCGTTGTACCTAAAACGAATATGTTGGTGGATGACTAAAAAGAATCTGTTAGTGGATCATTGTATTTTTCATGCTTTTGGCAGCATGATTTGTTTTGTTTTTTAGAATGAAAAAGTGGTAATATTCTCTGAGTTTTGTTTGATACTCCTTATTTTAATTGTAAATTGGAATGTTTTGAATTTGGTTTTTGATATGGTTTTTTTAAAGTTATTTCTTACTCAATTCAGAGAATTCTAGATTATATACAAATCAAATTTGAGGCCAACTTGTTTAGTAGTTTTTAGTTTGATTTTTAGAAACATATTTCTGAATTTTTTTTCTTCTATGAATGTTAAAATTAATTTGGTAACACTTTGGTTTGTATATAAGATAAAAGAAGAAAAAAATTGAATTACCTAGATTTTTGGTTTTGAATTATGATTTTTGGTTGGGATTCCCATTTCTTTTTTCAGTTGGAGTTCATGTGAACACAGGTCCATTCTAACAATGCAAATTCAATTACCAACAACTAATAATTTATTTATAATTATAAGGAAAGTAAAAATAATTGGCAATGGCAACTATCAAAACGTCCCAACAAGACAGGAACACTAAGATGCTGCCACAAAAACCCACACAGGCACAGTTAATTCAAAATGAAGTTGTAATTATGTTAAATTTAAGGGTCTTATTTCTACACAATACCTACACAATCTTGCTTCATTCAATCAAACATTTAGTGAAGTTATTTTGATAAAATGTTAAATGTTATTTTGATAAAATGTTGATAAAATATAAGTAGTTCTCTTTAGAAAATGTTTCATATTCAATTTTGTTGAACGGCATATTATATACAGCGCATCTTTTCCAAATAGGTTTGATTGTTAGTGATGTTATTTTGATAAAATGTAAAATAAAGTAATTCACCTAGGATTAAGATCATGAAAGTTGGCATAGAAATAGGTATTTTTTTTACTGTGTGACTTAACTTTTGCTCTCCTTGCTCGCGTTTATGCTTATATATAACAAATAGGGATAACTTGTTCCTAAAGGCACTAAAAAAAAAATAACGTACAATTAATATATATTAATGTCACTACTAAAAAATTGACCTTTTGCGTCTATTTTTTTGTGACGGCTTGATTAGCCGTGGCAAAAAAAAAAACAAAAAAAATAAAGAAACTGCGACACCGTAATGAAACGTAAGTAGGTAGTAAAAGGTGCTATTTTCTTTTATTTATTTGCGCCCTTTTCTTAGTTTTGCCCTAGCAGACTCACTCAACTCTCTCTCTCGTTCTTGATTTCTGTCTCGCTCTCCCATCGTTGTCTGAAGAACTCCACCAGTATGAATCTCTCCCTCGATCTCTCAATCTCTCTGTTTCTGTCTTGATCTCTTAATCTCTTTTCCTCTCTTGATCTCTCAATCTCTCTTTCGCACAATCTCGCTCTCTCTCTGTATTTGTGTACATCTCTCGCTGCAATTTGCGCGATTCATCACAGAGAAATCCTAACTCTGCTAGTAGACCGCAATGAAAAGGTCTCTTGGAGTTCTCAAATGCAGCAGAGTAAGCTCACCTATCATGCATTTCATCTATCTCAAAATTCACTTACATTGCGCGCGCGCACACAGATTGTCTTTGAGCTTCATTGTGTATAAATCAGGTGCCAACTCTCTTCAAATTTCCTCTGTTTTTTCTATTCAGTTTGTTTCAATTTGCTTCATATCTGTGCTTGATTTGGTTTTGTATTTGAGAATTCCTTTGTTTTTTTATTTTTGATTTGGATGATGGGTTTCGGTTGTTTTCAATTTCGGAAATTTAGTGTGTCTGTTGTGGTAAGTCTTGTTTATATAGTAAAAGTTGTAATTGAGAATTCATGATGGGTTCTAGGCAAGGTATTGTTCTCTTTTGTGTGTTGAGGTTTTCCTCGACGTAGTTGGGTTAATGCAGGTTAAGATCTCACCTTTTGAGGGGTTTTGCTTTAGGAATGTCTATGTCGTCATGAGAAGGGAAGGATGAAGAGTTTGGGTGACTAGAGCAATCGAGGTGGTTCTATGAGTGAAAGTGCTTTTGAGTTCGAAATAACTGTGTGATATGTGTTTGGATTTCCTTGCTTGAACTGTTATTTATACCTTATTATATGTTATTTGTAAACATTGTATATGTTTTGAAAAAAGTGAATTGTAATATTTAGTATTGAAAGCTTTAATTATCATTGTTATGAGAATGGATGACCGGTGGATGGGTCATGGTTATGAATTGAATTAGTTCACATTATAATGATTGATTTAAATACTGTGTTGTTGAAATGATTTTTTAAATTTCGGGGACGAAATTTCTTAAGGGGGGAGGTTACAACGATTCCGGTTTAGACTCGATCCGTTTATTGTTTTGGATCTGGGATTTCTTGTCTTCATTGATTGTTCATATCGTTATTCATCTTAGTCCTTGTTGAGTTTGGTTGTTGGAGTGTTATTGCTGCGTTAGGAACATGTTGGGAGTTAGTTTTTTTAAAAGAGTTGTTGTCCAGAATTTGGCTTGTTTGCTCGAGCACACTTTCTTGCGCTCGAGTGGTCTTTGAGACCTTCCAGTATATTTTGCAAGTCTACAAAAATACTGGGAGTGTGGTGTTCTTCACTCGAGCGGTGTATCTTGCGCTTAAGTGGTCTTGGCTCGAGCAGTCCTTCTTGTGCTCTGCTCGAGCGGTTAGCCTCTGTCTGCAAAACTTCTGGGAGGGTATCATTGTGTGCTCGAGCAGTAACTTGTTCGCTTGAGTGGTCTCATTTATTGTGTCTGGTCGCTCAAGCTGTGTTTTGGTCGCTTGAGTGATCTATACGTATATCAGACCGTAAAAGTTACTTTTTGAATCACTTTTTCATTTCTCTCTTTCTCTAAACATTTCAAAAACCTAGAGCTACTCTCCCTCTCTCTAAAACTCACCTTTAAACCTCAAATATACCCTCACCATTTGATCTCTACACCTTTGTCCTTTGGAGAAAAGATAGAGTTTGTTGAGAGCTTCATTCTAATTTGAAAGGTTCGTGTTTTCGTCGACGTTGACTTTTAGCGCTTTTGGGCTTTCTCCTCTTCTGGAGTGGAGGTGGAGATTTCTTCATGGTGTATATAATATTTAGCTTCGTTATATGTTATTTTGTTAGTTATGGGTTTTAAAAAAAATAGTCTTAGATATATATATTTATTATGCACAAATTTGGGAAAAAAAATTCAGTATGTTTGGTTTGAGTTTTCTGAATTAAGTTTTTTGAAAACTGAGTTTTTTTATTTTCATGTTTTTTTGTTTTTAGTGAATATTTTTTAAATTTTAATTTTTTTTTTATTTTTTTTACTTTTTAGATGCACCTCACATAGATGTATCTAAAAAGTAAAAAATATGTGAAAAAATTTTAAAAAAATTAATAAATAATAAAAATATAAAAAAATTGGTACTGAATTCTTGCATTTTTGGTATTTAATGAATTTTTAAAAGATTTTTTTACAATTTTTTTATTTTTTAGGTGTATTTATGTTAGGTGTGTCTAAAAAGTAAAACAATTGCTTAAAATATTTTTTAAAAAAAAAGTAAAAACAAAAGACGCGTGTAATGT